TTCTTTATACGGTGCCCAATTTTTTCCTAAAGTGTTTAACTCAATAGCTCGTGCCGGTTTACTAATCTTTTATTGCAGTTTGATAAGAATAATAACCGATACAATTTACCCTAACTGGTGCCCATAATGGTTCAGCTGTAAGTTTCTGGACATATAATGTTAAAAACCGGGGTTCGATACCTGTGTTAGGCACAGCACAGATAGCCTATTATGTAGCTTTGCGCCTAACAACAAACAAACCATTTTTAAACTGGCACAGAAAAATTGAAGGAAGACTCATTGATATTTCATTTGGATATTACCATGTGCATTCTCTATTTCAGCGTATAACAAACTGTTTTTCATTCAATGTGATTCCCACTTTAAAAAAACAAAAAAATTCCGAAACCAATGACAGTTTTAAAACCAAGTACCATGTTTCAGTTTTGATCATTACACCCGTATTATTCATTTGAGTAAACCCTTGGTTGTTATATTATGACAATAATATAAGATAGTGTAGTAGTAACCTTAGACAAAATATTTGGGCCTGGCATGGCCAGGTGGTTAGGGTGCTCGACACGCAATCTGAGGGTCGCGGGTTCGAATCCCCGTCTCGCCAAATATGCTCGCTCTTTCAGCCGTGGAGGCATTATAATGTGACGGTCAATCCCACTATTGGGTTTTGCATTAACAAACTAGTTTGTTTTTAGGTTTATAGTGAGGTTGTTTTAAAAAAATCTATATTAACCCACGGCTGATGTGAGGGAGATTCGAACTCACAACTCTCAGACCCACTTATGAAATGAAAGAGTAAGGGGTTCAGTGTAGTTTGCTATCTTAGTTCTCCAAATCTAGATCCCCTTTCAAATGGCGATATCCCTTAGAATGTTTACTGATTTACTATAGAGTAATGTTTATGAATGTATTTATTGCACAAATATAAATAGAAAAAATGTAGCACTTTTGTAAAAAAAGAAAAAAAGTATATCATGGGATTATCGTTAAAAACTATTAATTATTCTGTTTTCATTTTAAGTGTTATAAAGTTACGATCAATCCCATTATTCGTTGGTAAAAGAGTAGCCCAAGAGTTGGAGGTGGGTGTTGTTGGCTAGCTGCCTTCCCTCTAGTCTTTCATGCTAAATTAGGAACAGCTAGCGCAGATGGCCTTCGTGTAGCTTTGCGCGAAATTCAAAACAAACAAACGCGTTGCATTGGTATTTCCCCAAATGGGAAGTTTTCATGCACAAAGAGAGAACCCATATAATTAAAAAACTAAATTAAAAAAAAAACGCTTACTAGCGTCGAAAATACGAAAGTTTGATATGAACTATTTTGCAAAAGGTAAAATATTATGCGTAACGTTTACTCAGTTTCATGAATACAACCTCCTGGGTGTTTTTTTGTTTGTTATTATTATTATTAATGATCATGAAATTTACATTTAGTTCGCGTTCTGGTTGATGAATGTATCCAAGAAGTATCCAAAGTTTGCATCATTGTCCTAAAATATCAAAATGTATGAAACTTAAGTGTACGAGTCACTTGTAAAAGTGTCCATTTTAGAATAAAACTTTTCATTTTGACAAGCGTTTTGGTGTGAATATGTATATATGTTTAAATATATACAAGAGTGTGTTATTCTAGAATGACACAAGCTGCTGTCGACAACTGACAGGCCCGGCATGGCCAGGTGGTTAGGGCGCTCGACTCGCAATCTGCGAGTCGCAGGTTCGAATCCCCGTCACACCAAACATGCTCGCCCTTTCAGCGTGGGGGCGTTATAATATGACGGTCAATCCCATTATACGTTGATAAAAGAGTAGCCCAAGAGTTGGCGGTGGGTGGTGGTGACTAGCTGCCTTCCTACTACTAAATTAGGGACGGCTAGCGCAGATAGCCCTCGTGTGGCTTTGCGCGAAATTCAAAAACAAACGACAACTGTCATTGTTAAGACTAGTCTTCATTTTGTCATATTACGTGCTTTCGTAACTGGAAAGAAGTTATATGTAGGCGAAAAACTGTTCATTTCAAGCAAATTGTAATAGCTGTTGATTAAAAGAAAGTTTACTATATAGCTCAGACTAAGCAAATTAAATTAGTAAATTCAACTCTATATATGAAACAAAATGACTAGAAATATTACAAATTAATCCATAATAAAACTAAAACCTTTAGTGACTAGAATGTATTGATTGAATCATCCGGGTCACCCACTCTCGCTGTTAACGGTTTAAATTTATTTCTTAAACTTGTGTTGCAAAACCGTTTTTCTAGTTTACTAGTGTTTTATATTCTTTAATTGAGTATTTGAGGAATAAAATTAATTGAAAGATGGTAGGCAGGTAAACTCAAAAAAGTTTTGTTAACAAAATATACTGTGATGAGCTTTTAAGAAGCTTCTTGATGAATAACGGAATTGAAATGTTCAATATATACGGCACGTTATGGGCTAAACGGCCTGATTAGAGACCCCTTTGAATTCAGGTACATCGCCCCTAGTTTTAAACTACTGACCAGATGGAAGGCGGTCAGCCAGCAACACCCACCGCAACAAGGAACTTGTGCAGTACTTTAAACCGAATTATTGGATTCGATGTTATTTTTATAACGACGCCTCGGCTGAAAGTGGGGAGCATGCTCAGCGAAATCACATCTTGAACTCTGGGCCCCTCGTACCGCAGCCTGATACGCTAACCATACGCCAAGCCCCGAATAAAGAATGCACTAAAGCTGAAAAAAAAAACTTAATGTACAGCTGGCAAAGGAAATAAAATAGCAGTATGTATAATAATATTAATAATAATGTAACTTACTTGATTTGCCATTGCAAGGAAACTGTAAGTATCATACAGCTTCTGAGAGCCGATAAAAACAGGAGGATGTAAAGGTCTGAAAATTAGGTCCGAAGCTACGTTTAATGAATTTTGACATTCATGAAAATCACCTAGTAGAACACCATTACACATGTTTACCATATTTGTGGAACTGATAGATGGATATACTAGTTTTAATTGTTTCAACTCCTAGCCACAAAAATCAGGTATAAATAATATTCACTTTTCTTTTTTCTTTTGCTGTCAGTTGTTGGTTTTGGGCAGAGTAAAGTTGGAAGGATCGTACCGAGATTATAAGACTTTTTTTCTGAGCTTGCTTCTTTTATCGGGATAAGTTATTTCCTCCAAAATGCTTAAAGCATTAACTTATAAATGAACTAATAATTTTTTTATGGCCAAAAACGTATACCGGACTGAAGCATGCGTGATTGTCTAAATATATTTGGTTCTTCTTAGTTAGCAAGTCTCAGTTCAGTATGAAAAGCACTCTTAGAAATAAATAAAGACTGCTTTTACACAATTATAAATTTCAATGACTAATTTTCACGGAAGAAAAAAAATAGAACACCATGGAAGTGTAGAGTATGCATTCGAATGATCTTTTCTTTGTATTCTATTTACGCTTTTTTTCATAGAACATTTAAAATTTTGCACTAAAACAGTATATTAGTTTTGAACACCTTCATATAGTAAGCCGTACTTATGTACAATCTTACATAATGTTACTCGGTAATGCTATTTTGATATACGTAACATACATAGATATATATAAACGAACAGTTGTAGAATATATGAACTGTTACATATTATTTCTATATTTCTATATTTAGATGTTCCTTTACATTTTTTTTACTTAATGAAAATAAAACGTTTCATTCTTCTCACTGGAGTGATAAATGTTGACCGCCAACTAACTTTCACAACCGACGTAGAAGTAAATCGATTTGTACACTTCTTGGCCATAAGTTTAGAAATATTAAACGTGGACTTCTACAGTCTCATTTTCAGATATTTCTATTGACATGTAATTTGTTTGCTTCGGATATATTCTGTAAGCTATAGAAAGGGTCATCTGCACTAGCCGTCCCTAATTTTTAAATGATAGACTAGAGTGAGAGGGCAGCTATTCAACAACAGCCACTGCCAACTCTTGTCTGACCAAATAGTGGTATTTGACCGTCACTCTTATAACGCAATCACGGCTCCAAAGTGCGGGATGCGATTTTGCGAAAACGTGACACGAGCCATTCCTAATCCGGTATGCTAACCATTAAGCTACGACCGACCTAGTACAATAGATTTTACCGTCACTCTTGTAACGCACCCATGGCCCCAGAGCAGAGAACGATTTTGGGGCAACGGGATGCGAACCATGGGCTCTCAGATTTACATTGTTGCACGCTAGCCAGCAGTTCACGCCAGCTATTGACAAACAGATTCACAGTACTATTAAAGAACTTTAAATAAAAAACTCGTGATTTCATAACAAAGTTGTTCTATTTATTTCTGTAAATTTAGCAAATCTCAAGGGAATGCACTATACATTATTATCCAACGTAATTAAACAAACCTGAATAAAGAGAGTTTTATTTCGTAGGCGTTAAGCGTTGATATGTTTATTAATGTATTATGTAAGATTTACAGATTCTTCAATCTTTTCTTCATTTTGTAAAAAAACAAACTTTTAATATATACTGCGTAATCTTATTTGTAACTGTTTTTGTAAGAGTTGCAAGTGAAATAAATATTATGTCTACTTTATAATTCAAGTTATTTTTACGTCATCGAGGCTTATTATATTACAACCATTGTTGTTTATTTACAAATACTGGCGTATAATTTATCTATGGTTTTCCATATGCTATGTAGATTAAATAATCTACTATTTTTTTCTAGACTTCTTTTCATACAATGCGAACCAAAAATTACAAATACGAAAATGTAGGTGTAGAATGGCTACCGTTGAATTGCATAGTAAAAACATGTAATATATAATATACATATATGTATATATCATACTGTTCATGCAAGATGTTAATGAAGAAAATAAAGCGCTCTTTTATAACAATAGTAGCTTAAAGTTAGCTTACACTGTAGAGCATCATATTTAAGCATTAATAATAAAGCGAACGAGTAGCATGTGCAGCAGAATCTCAATAAAACGTAAAATAAAGTACTCACAGTCATCTGCTGCAAATGCGAACGCCAGATCTGGCGTGGCTGTATCTTCTTCCTGTACGTCAGGTTCAGGCTGGTCTCGTTGGAAAAAGGGGACATCAACTTGAATATCATACCGGTTAATAAGATCGTAAAGGGGAGGGATGTTTTGCAAGTTTTTTCTTGTTATGTTTGGAGGCTGGGTCATCCCCAGTTTAGTGAGAATTTGTGCTTTGATCATCTCCAATCGTTTTTCTTTCTCCTGCTCTGGTGGCAAGCACTTCCGGCACCTACGCGAGCCCTTGGCGACTGTCTCTGCTTTCCCTGAAGTAGGATCCTGTTCAAAGTCTTCGGGTTCTTGCTCGGATAATTCTTTTTGCTGCTGGAGCAAGGAATCAATTTGTTCGGTCAAGTTTCGTGCCTCTAGGTCCATCTTGGTTAGTACCTTTAGTTTCTGCATGTCGTCATCTTGTTGAGTGAACGATTTCTCCGTCGGTGACGATATCCCTAGCGTGCAGGCTGTCAGAACCAAACACATGGCTCCAAGTAGAACTTTGGACTGGCGAAGAACGGCAGTGTTCTTTCGTAACATGGCAAGTCGATTGTCAGAATCTCTGCAGTAAAGTCTGTGTATGTGTGTGTTTCTGGGGAGAGAGAAAAGGGCCAGCCAGTGGACTGCGGCTTACTGAATGCTGTAGTTCTAACGAACTCAACCTCTGGGTGCGCGCAGGGGTTTTATAGGTAAATTCAGATCATATGGTAAGGGGGGGAATACAGAAGGGAAACATCTAAACACGCCTTCTGTTTCACTTGGCAGTTGAGGTTTTTTTTGTAGCAGCGATACTGCTGCCGGTAACCACCCACTTTCTTAGTTTGTACCAATCGACTGTCTGCTTCATGAAACCCTGGCTTGAGAGTGGCCACTGAAGTCGTGTATGAGTGGGTCCTTAGGAGGCAGATGATCATCCAAACAGTGGCCGTGAAGCTCTTAGACATGAATAATAACTGTCACCCTCATCTATATGTACCACATGTGTATTTCATGCATGTAGAAAGTATGGCCAAACTTGTCTTTTTCACTGCAAAGGGTAATTAATAATTTTGTGAACTTTTGGCGTTAATCACAAAAATATCAAAATGTGCATGAACAGAACGATAATAAGAATGAAACAGAAAAAAAAAGACTAACAATTTTCACACAACAACGTTTATAGAATATTATAGGAATGTTCCTTTGAATCATCACAACATTTGAGAAGTGAGCATGATTCTTATAAGCGATTGTCTTTCAAAATGTCATCCACACATAAAACATTCTTACATACACACACATGTAAAGTTTATATATTATCACACTTACTTAATTTAGTGCCTGCAAAACCGCTGTTCAGCATTAGAAAATATTTAAAGAGATAATGATGAAGATCAAACTTAGATTAAGAATTTATTAAATTCAAACCGTGTAAGTAATTGGAAAACGGTATTGAATCTCAGTTCATGTGCTACCCCGTTTCGTTTTAATTATTAGTAGTAATCGCTGTTACTTAAGTACTTCATTGAAAAAAAAACCGAGCGAATGTTTTGATAATTAAACAATAACTGTGCAAGTAGAGTCACTTAATTGTTAGGATTGGGCGAACCCTCTTATTATGTATACAACATTATAAAGTACTTTCATTTTCATAATTGTCTTTACAAATTAAAAGATGTAATAGTCAATTGGTAAATTTGTGAACTGAGTCCTAAACGACAAGAAGTAAAGCACTGTGCGGTCATTTCATATCAGCATTTCTTTGATAATTTAGGTTTATGTCGACTGTTCACATTTGTTGTTAACAGTATCTGTGTAATTTACGTTTTCAGCAATAACGAACACAATCAACCAGTGCTAAATATATAAATTATGTATTATATATAAAACACTTCTATTCGTATTCTTATTACCGACTTTCAGGGAGAAATATGAACTTCGTTAATACTATCACACATTTATTGTTATACGATAACAAACTCACACTAAATTTATATATATATATATATATATTATACATACATTTTTTTCATTTTCTCTTCAAATTTTAACATTGATGTTCAACGTATATACCGCTATTTAATTCATCATTATAAACATTTTTTATAGGAAATAGTAAAATATTGAGTATTTACGAATGCTCTATCATATTGCTCTGTTTTTTTAGAAGCTTCCACCTTTACCGTTCACTATCTGTGGGCCCCCCCAGTGGCACAGCGGTATGTCTGCGGACTTACAACGCTAGAATCCGGGTTTCGATACCCGTGGTGGGCAGAGCCCAGATAGCTCATTGTGTAGCTTTGTGCTCAATTACAAACAAACACTATCTGTGCAAAACTTTCACCGTTTCAAACGAAACAACAAGCCTCTTTTCTTGCTCTGTTTATTTTTATACGTCGTGTCATCTCAAACTTAATTTTGATAACACGATGTTCGAAACTCTATGGCAATTTTACTATTAAAGAATTGTTGAGAATTACACAGTTCGTTAATTTTGCCTTCTTTTCTGTTCATTACATGTGATGCTCATTTATGTGTTTTGTTATCTCAGTTTTGGGAATAATTTTTTTCTAATGTACATTTTAGCAAACAATATGAATGTCTTGATACTATACATAAATGTTCGTTTGTCTCTCATCTTATAAGTTCAAGGCCTTAAACTCTTAAAAAGAATGTTTGAAGGTGGATCTAACTTGATGTTCTAAAGGTGAGACCTAACTCATCAGTGTTCATCAACGTGTAACTTGTGTACTGAAAAGTCAGGCAGCGTACATCTAAACCAAAAAAAAAGCAAGTTCATAATGAAAACGACAAGTGCGACAGTTCCTCTTCTTATGTCTGCCTAAATGAGACAGTTCTGTGACCTATAGAAGTGGAGGCAGAGGTCTGAGAAGAGTCACCTTAGATTTAAAGCATTACCTACGAATCCTTCTATTTCTGTCTTGCCGACATCGCTTTATCGGCTACTTGAGGTCACATGTAATTTACAAACAACGAGTGCTACAATCTCTTCTATTATAGCGTCTCTTTAGAGGCTGTTTGACTAGTTTTTCTGTTTAGTAAAACCTAACTTTAGAACTAACCAGAAACTGGGAATATAAATACGAGTATTTTATTCACCTGGGATCCGTCTGGATAATAACATATAGACGAGACGGCTGACTATTTCAAGTGTTTGGGAAGCTTTCGGTAGCTAACCTGTCTCACTTTCTTTGCTCAGTTGTCTAGATTTTACTCTAAAATAAACTCATGTAGTCAGGTCGAATCTCTAAATATAAACTTTTATGCGATTGAATCTCCACTCAATAGAATCAAGGTCAGTTTTTGGCACAGAGTGACATACCATTAAAAAAGAGGGACTGACTAGGCGACATCGGCCAAGTTTCGTCGACCTGTCCGATATCTAAGCACGTAGATCAAAAGACATGACACCACTGCAGCATATTCTCTGAACTAGTAAGGATATTTAGTTTAAATGCCTTTCAAATGTCATTGAAAAACTCTTGTGTCATCTAAGAAATCGTTTAAGTCGTTTAACCCTTGTTTATCGAATTTAAGATGTTTCTTTTTGTTTGTTTGTTGTTGAAACACCAAACTACTCGGAGAATTAACTGCGTTATGCCTACCTCAGGAATCATACTTCGACTTTTAGCGTTGTAAACACTCGAGCTTACTGCTAAGCTATCGAAGGGAAATATATTTATGTAAAAAATATATTATTAATATATTTTAATGTATTTTCAACAAGCGTGCTGAACAAAAACGGCAAATATTCCTTTGACGTCCATTTTATCACCAGAAATTAGCGGAAAAAAGCGTAACAAATATATTACTTTCTCAAAAATTACAAAAAAAAAACAAGCAAAAAATGGCGATATTCCAATTATTACTCGTTTGTTGAGTCAATATATAGCTTCAGCATTATTGTTTTTTTTACCAATACTGAGAAAATGAAAACAACAGTTTAGAAGTTTTCAGTTCTTTTTAACTTGTGAGCTTATCTCCTAGATTTGTATAAAGGCATCTTACTTCAGCTAGAACAAAGAATCGTAACCTTAACTAGTGGTGTACATAAGCTAGAATACTAAAGTATTACCTAGATTTTTCGTGTATAAATTTAGATAAGGTTCTATAAATTACAACGATGAATTATTATATCTAAGTTAGTGGCATTGGTATACAAAATAAAGTCACATAAATTAGAGCGATGAGTTACCAGCTAAGTTAGTGGTATACAAAATATAGTCACATAAATTAAAGAGCGATGAATTACCAGCTAAGTTTATGGTATACAAGATATAGTCCCATAAATTAGAGCGATGAGTTACCAACTAAGTTAGTGGTATACAAAATATAGTCCGATAAATTAAAACGATGAGTTACCAACTAAGTTACTGGTATACAAACTACAGGCAAATAAATTAGTTCGATGAGTTACCAACTAAGTTAGTGGTATACAACATAAAGTCCCATAAATTAAAACGGTGAGTTTCTAACTAGGATAGTGGTATACAAAATAAAGTCACATAAATTAGAGCGATGAGTTACCAGCTAAGTAAGTGGTATACAAAATAAAGGAAAAAAATTAGAACGATGAGTTACCAACTAAGTTAGTGATATACAAAATAAAGTCACATAAATTAGAACGATGAATTACCAACTAAATTAGTGGTATACAAAATAAAGTCCCATAAATTAAAACGGTGAGTTTCTAACTAGGATAGTGGTATACACAATAAAGTCACATAAGTTAGAGCGATGAGTTACCAGCTAAACTGGTGATATTGGTATGCTTTTTTGTTTGAAGTTAAGCACAAATCTACACAAGGGGCTATCTGTGACTCTGCCCACCACTGGTATCGAAACCCGGTTTCCAGCGTTGTAAGTCCGCAGACATACCGCTGTGCTCTGGGGGGCATATTGGTATGCAAAACAAAGTCACATAACTTAGAACGATGAGTTAAGAGTTAAGTTAGTGGTATTGGTATACAAAATAAAGTCATATAAGGTGTGTCAAAATATGCATTTAAGCCATAATTATCACTTTTTAGCTCACCTATTGTAGAGTAAAAAGTAAGTTTGAACAAGAATGTAATGTGAACCTAGTGGCTTATAAAAGCGATTCACATAAGATAGAACAAAGAGTCTTCATTTTATCTATTGTATAAAATTTACTAGAATAATGAGTTATTAGCTCACAAATAATGCATGTAACATAAATAGACTAGGACATATAATTAACATAAATAGACTATAACAATCAATTATTAGATTACCCATTAGGAGATAAAAGTAACAGTTAAACTACAAACAAGAATATATCGTATCACTTAGTAATGAATAAATGTAAGTCGATAAACTAGAGCAACTAATTATTATATGACCTAGTGCTTCATAGAAAAACATACATTAAATATAATAAGTTATTACATCATATGAACTAGAACAATGAATGATTAATTTACTTCGTACTTCACAGAAAAAGCGTACATTAGATAGAACAAGAAGTCAATAGATCATGAAAACTAGAATGAGTAATTAGTTCACTTAGTACTTCACAGAAGAAGTGTGCATTAGATTGAACAGGAAGTTAATAGATCATGAAAACTAGAATAATGAGCTATTAGTTCATTTAGTATGCTTCACAGAAGAAGCATACATTAGATAGAACAAGAAATTAATAGATCATATAAATTAAACCAATGAATTATCAGCTGGCCTAAAAGTATATATAAATGAAGCTTACTTAGGCTACATCAAGTAATAATCATTTCATACAGCTTTGTGTAAAAATTACTCGTGTCAGACAAACTAGAATAATGACTCATTACTTCATCCATTGCTATACAAAAGGAAACTTTCCTTATTGAGAACCAGAATATACTTGCTAACCCAGATTATGTGTACAGTAATTCATGTACGCGAGAGCAACACTTCAAATAACTCAAGAAACGGAAACAAGAAGCTATCAGTTGATTTAGTGGTGCATAAAAGTAAA